GCTTAAACCACTAGGCTACCCCACCGTCCCCAAAGCACAAGAAGCTAAAGGGCTACCTGTGTGCATTAGTTGTATATGTTTCTTTGAACATTAGTATAACTTTAACAGTATCATTGCCCATCAGCTGAATATTTTAATAAACTTAAAGACTCTCATAGGTTACCATTCTGGTGAAACTCATGTACTGTGCTGACAGTCCTAAGATGATAATGTAGTTTGGGTAATATGAATCAACAATCAAAGTCATGTCATGTCATGTCATGTCATGTCATATCAAGGGCAGGCAACTCCAGATTCCTGCATTGCTTCAACTACTCAACACCCAGGTCCTCTGAATGGTTTAACTTTAAAGGGTAAAACAATAATCTTGTTCTTAAGGTAACATGTATGTCACGGACTGACTCAGTATCCATTGAATAAAGGAACACTAACATATCTTGTTCACAAAATATTATCATTTCCTACATCAAATTTCATGCAACCAAATATACTGAACAGAACTTGTCAGGGATCAAGTTTTTGGGAATATTTTTGGGTAGTGAAGAATGGTAGGTAACGTAGTGTCATTAACATATCCCCTCAGAATCTAGTTTATCCTGACTCTTTGTGTTCAGCATAGTCTGGATGCAGAGGAAGGAAATAGAACTGACTGAAGCCTTTTCTACACATATTTCGTCAGATTAGACTCGACTTATTGAATATCAGTGATCAGACATGGTCTGGATGGTGATGGTGATGCTCATCTGCTTAACAGTTTTGTGCCCATTATTTAACGTAATTAAACTGCTCACAAGTCTGAAAATCACTACCAGTACCTCTCACAAGAGTCCTGGAATTGCAATATCTAGTCAGTTAGTTAAATAGTACAAAACAATAGGTCCTCAAACAGCCTTTCCTCCTTGTTAAGGTTGCCTGGTCAACACTGAACAGTTTCTATTGCGTTTACTATGGATATTCACTTTTTCATTGAACTCATAAAATGGTACACACACCCAGAGCCATTTCACAAAGCAACCATAGCGCTACCACAACCAATATCCAGAACTACCACATATGGCTGTATATAAAGCAGCCACGGGATGCAGCGACACCTTGTTAATCTGGTAACCTCATTCAGACAATTACAAATTAGAAAATCTCCATATATATATATAAAACAGTAAAAACGATTTGTCAATCCAGACAGTTTTAATCACAAATGGTTTGATCTGGTTTAACAAGGTTTAACTTTATTCTAACATAAACTTATGACAGAGTTGGGATCTCCTTTAGCAACAGGGCCATGCACCGAACACGACACGTTTGTCCTGTTTTAGGGATATTTACAATCGATAAGTTTATCCCAATGTTGCATCACAAAAATATGGCAAATATTTGACCGCCTACCAATCAATGCAGATTTCATGGAAAACCAATCAGTCCTCAGCCCACAGTCTTTGCCAAACAAACTCTGCCTTCACCATTCCATGTGACAATGAACTTGGTTATGAAAAGTGGTTAGTAACTGGCATTAACACATTCCATCACATTAGTGACAGGAGCATGTCCAGTACACTAAGGGAACTGGTCAGAGGGGTGTTGATATGAAAGTGGTGATGTGGGCGTTTGGGATGTGGGCGTGTTTGGGAGGAGGGGGTTTTATGAAGAAAGGTGATGGGTGTGGCGTTGGGCGAGGGATATTCTGAAGAGAGGTGATGGTGTGGCTTTGGGCAAGGGGTGTTCTGGAGAGAGGTGATGGTGTGTCTTTGGGCAAGGGATGTTCTGGAGAGAGGTGATGGTGTGGCTTTGGGCAAGGGGTGTTCTGAAGAGAGGTGATGGTGTGGCTTTGGGCAAGGGGTGTTCTGAAGAGAGGTGATGGTGTGGCTTTGGGCAAGGGATGTTCTGAAGAGAGGTGATGGTGTGGCTTTGGGCAAGGGGTGTTCTGAAGAGAGGTGATGGTGTGGCTTTGGGCAAGGGGTGTTCTGAAGAGAGGTGATGGGTGTGGCTTTGGGCAAGGGGTGTTCTGAAGAGAGGTGATGGTGTGGCTTTGGGCAAGGGGTGTTCTGAAGAGAGGTGATGGTGTGGCTTTGGGCAAGGGGTGTTCTGAAGAGAGGTGATGGTGTGGCTTTGGGCAAGGGGTGTTCTGAAAAGAGGTGATGGGTGTGGCTTTGGGCAAGGGGTGTTCTGAAGAGAGGTGATGGTGTGGCTTTGGGCAAGGGGTGTTCTGAAGAGAGGTGATGGTGTGGCTTTGGGCAAGGGGTGTTCTGAAGAGAGGTGATGGTGTGGCTTTGGGCAAGGGGTGTTCTGAAGAGAGGTGATGGGTGTGGCTTTAGGCAAGGGGTGTTCTGAAGAGAGGTGATGGTGTGGCTTTGGGCAAGGGGTATTCTGAAGAGAGGTGATGGTGTGGCTTTGGGCAAGGGGTGTTCTGAAGAGAGGTGAGGGTTGTGGCTTTGTGAGGTCAAAAAACAAGACCTGATGCATGGATGTATTAAAATCCTGAGTCGGAATAAAATAACAATGCCTTTAGACCTTTTGGCATAAAATGCATTTGTCAAATAACTTTCAAACCACGTTTCGTACTGGTACATGATCAAAGTATATAATCACATATATTTTATTGGCATTTTAGAAGTTGATGAATAGTAAGAAAAGGTACGATACTTTATGGATACTTTATGTAATCACAGTAGCACAAAGCGATGCACAAATACTCTCATGGATCATTCAAGGCCTTGATGTCAGTTATTTGTATTTTATACAAAGGAAGTTTAAGAACGTCAGATGTCTTCATTGTCATACATTTAGTTATATATGAAAAAAAAACCAGCGTTCCTCTACGTCATTTAGAGCAGTATAAAAGTTAAAAGACTACACCCATTACTATTACTATTACTGAGAGATCACTATCATAGAGATAATTAGAATTTCCGACACACGTTCACCTACATGTTAGCTTTACACTTCATTCAGAATACTGACAGAATACTGAGTGACTGGATAACAGGGCAAGTTTACATACAAAAACACCTTTCTGTCTTGAGCTGTTGCAGCATAAGAAAGTATATATCAAGTAGTTTCATTGCCAAAACAGTACAGATACTACAACTAATTAGTACAATTTTTGCATTATATAGATTCATGTTAGAATTACACTACATTCAGAATACTGATGGAACAAGGTGAGTCGTTATTGGTTAACAGTGGTGTAATGATACGACTGTATCATCACCACCAGGGTCTATTGAATCAATATACTTCATCTTTTATTGCATGACAGATGAACTTTATTTGTAGAAGAATCAGGTCCTTAACCGTTATATATACTATACTTAATAGTAACATAAATATATTTGCATTAAGATAAATGAAAGCAAAGAAGTGTTCCTTAACTTCCTTGTACATTCCGTCTTTTCAAAAATAATCAAGGTATCTCTTCACTACCACATCACCATATAAATCATTATCAAGGATAATGCATCAAGTCAAGGTTTCCATGAAGCACATACAAATGCATTATCAACACTGGGGATGTGAAATACATAAAGGCTTCAAATAAAATTATCTGGTTCTCTGCCTTTTTTCAGTGTAGGTTAATTACTACCTGTTACTGCTGCTTCAATGTTATATTTTAATGGAAATATTATTAATTTCAACCATTCCTGTACTGCTTCATAGCATACAGGTGTTGCCTAACCCTTAAAGAGACATACTGACTGAATATTTTTTTACACTAATTAAAGCAAAAATTTCAGCAAGATCAGCATTATGGGACACCAGAATCAGGCATCACACATTGTATACATGTGGGGAATCAAACCCAGCCTTTGGAAGAGATGAGCAAATGCTTTAACTACTGGGCTACTGGGCTATGAAGATGATGTTCCAACAGCAAAATACCAAATCATTTTGTTAGCCAAGTTAGCTTTTGGACTAAATCATAGATTTCACATTCTTGGTTTGAGAAGAGTCTATAAGGCCAAGTTCATTATTTGACCAAGACCAACTTAATATTCTAGATTTACTGATCAGCGTTAAAATTAACTATATACAAACAATTGATAATGCTGTCTTAATTGAAATGACTTATCTAGGACAATTTGTTTGTAAAATCTGTATTTACTTTCATGTCAATGTCTGTATTTTGTGAGAAATGTACCTCAAATGAACAATGAGAACCTGAATTTCCTAAAGACAATGGTCTCAGCATGATATATAGAATCATGGATGACTATTGGTGGCTCTAACCAAGCAGTTCAACCTTTAAATGTACTAAACATGAATATGACTCAATTTGCTTGACTGAAAATGACAAGATACTAGAAAAGATTATGTTTGTTTGTCTTCAACGTGAGGGAGAGCGAGGGAGGGAGGGAGGGAGTTATGATAAACACCACCTTTGAAACACTGTCAGTTTTACCATGGATTGTCAGGGGTGGAAATAACCCATTGCCCGACTCCAGTGTTTTTTCTGTCGGGCAAGCAAATCTGTATATCACACTGTACCGGTGTCAGGTTGACTTTCCAATATTAATTATGTTGTTTATTTAAAAAATCAACAAGAAAATGTCCGGTATAGTGGGAAAATTATCAGGGCAAGTGATTTTACATGTGCCACTGTACTGGAGTACACTAGCAATTTTAAAGTTATTTCCACCCCCGATTGTCATCAGAACAAGTGAAGATAGCCCAAAGTTTCAGATGCCTACCACGTTGGTGAAATCCTCAAACACAGGATATGGAGATGACAAACCCCGAAACCAAGATCAGGGTAAACCAGGATTCAAACCCACAATCAGAGTGCCCAAAGGGCGTAACCCTGTACAGCGAATTACATCGCTTTAAGATGGACCCCAAAAAACCTGAAAGTCTTGAAATACAAATTTCTACTTACAAACATACCACAGACTGATAAGGAAACTATCTGTTCATAACAAGCACCTGTTGATATGTGGGACATGATTCATGTAAGATGAAGAGTGAATTCTGCTGTGTCAGCATTTTCCCGTTTGCCCCCACTGGTATCACACAGCATGGAACATGACCTTTATCACTATACCTGGAACCCAGATAATCAAACCATACCTCTACTTGGTTTCCATTGGTTGACATGAACACTGGTGTAGACATTTAACAGCACAAAACATATATATATATATACTATCCAGACAGTTAACACTGACAATAGAATCCAGATTTATATACAGTTACAACATCTAGAATTGTTCCGTGATGCATTCTTAAAATCTTAAAATATTATGAATCACAAAATGACAACAGGTATGTTCTTAAAATGTGTATGTACACAGTATCAGTTTCTAAAAGCAGCATAAACTCAACAAAGTGATTAATGACAAAACTCACTCAAGTGAGAACTAATTTTCAAGAAATAAAAAGTCATTTCAGGAAATAAAAGATCTTTATAAAATATTAAACATTTCTACTTTAATATTTACCTTTTTTGGCTAAACATAAAATGTCAAGGGCATGATGGAATTTATTTGTATATCTATTTTGTTAACAACCATGACTACAACATGTACTTATTCCTCCTGTTCCCAAATCATGCTAAGTTACGACCCAATCATGATTCTATTACCATCTATGATGTGGTAAGGTGTTACACAAGAATGTGAACTCCTAGCATAATGGCTAAAACGTGGATTATGTCCACTTTCTTGATCTCCTAATTTTGTATAAATCATGTGTTGAAATTACTCCTCATTTGAAGGCTTAATTGAAAGTAATATGTGGTCTTATTTATACAAAAATACTAATACTCGAAATTTTGTACAGTAGTTTATATATTTAATGTATTTATGACATTAATATTGATGATCTTTCCATAATATTGTAATTTTAATATAGCTGACAGCCAGTGAACAAAGTACTGAAGTATTTTCTCAAAACAAAAATAAAAAACAGGTGTAATGGCTTTCTTGTTGTAAATTAGTAAGGACAGGCTCGAGTATTGGCCATTGGCATTATGACATACATATATGACAAGGAACAACTAGAAACCAGGGTTTCTAAAATTAAGATTATTTCATTTCGATAATTGCACTATCAACACAAACGTACACCTCATGTGTACATGCATGAACTTCAAAACAAAAACATGTTTAAAAGTTGGTTAGCATTTCTATAATAACATAATATTTACTATTAAATGAATATATTTCTTTGATAAGAATGTTGTACTGAAATGATCTGATATTAGAATACAATGGCTGCGACTTTGTACACAATGACAAACGGATGATGCTTCACACATGAATCTGTACAAGATGGCAATAACACACGTGAACACAGAACAGCACTAGCAACATTAGCTAGAACTAACTGGCCTGACTTACAAGCCAAAAATACAGAGTTATCTCCCCTTGATTTTCAGGTTGTTAAATTATCTTAATGTACATGGGCCGATGGCCTACAAACTGAAATAAACTTTCTAATCAAACCAGAGCAGGCTGAAAAGACGGATAATCGGAAATATTGTAGATGCGAAAAATTATTAATTTTCAATGCAAAATGTATGTCATTGATTCATCTGTAATATCTTGCTTAACTTTTGTGATGATAAAACGTTTCAATTTACTCAAACAATACAGAAAGTTAGGTTTATATTTATGGGCTGCTTCCATATTATGTTCAGGATGCTGTTTTGTAATCCATGCATAATTATGTCACCACTCACCAGTGATATGGTGATTTCTTTCTTTTGGTCAATTTTGCTCAAAATTCCTTCTCTGATATATATCAATTATCAAGCTCTATGATCTATATTGATAGCCAGTCCAGCTCTAACACTTCTTATCATAGGAACACTGCAACAAGAGAACGTTAAAGTTAATGTGACTCGAAAACATAAGGGAAGCAACTGCACTATCAAATTCAACAAATGTTAGAAACTAACGTAACCTTGCACTCATTTTGTTTAAAGGCTTTTCAAGTGATGTACTCGGTTTGATGAAAGGTTAGTCAGCAAAGCAATTCAGAAATTCACCAAGTGTATTCTCAGTTATATGACCCCCCTTCTACAGAACTGAACTTTTAAAAAGAAAGTTGAAAAAAACAAAAACAACATATAACAAAAGCATCAGCAAATATGAACTGTACAGAAATCTGGGTGATGCTGATCAGTACAGTTAACAGAGTCCAATTACAAAGGCTACAAAGCCACTGAAGACTATGGTTTCGCTTGAAGTCTAATCGGTTCACTTTCATGAACTGACAAGTTTGGTATGTGGTCATTTAGTGATACAGTCACCAGGAGCTTGTATCAAGGGGAGATAACTGCAGTGCGAAGACTACGACTGTGATCCCTGCATAGCCTGGCGAACACACGCTGCCAGTAGTTCGTCCACCTGGTCACCATCTGAGTCAGGGTCGATGTCGAATTCCTGAAATTGAAACGGTTTCAGATGCAACAAACTATTAAAAAAGGATGTGAGGTGAGATGGGGTTTAAAATCTTGTCTAAGATTTCTGCAACGTCTTTTATCAGTTGTTCAATAGATAAAATTTCTTGCATGTCTATAACTATATCACAACAGCCTGTTAATAAGATTGAATTTGCACCAAGCAAATCTGATGTTTATATTATCTGCCAGGCACATACCATCCGAGTTGGATGACATGCAAGGTCACAAACCCTGACCTCCAGATCCATTAGTGGGAAGCACAGATGGCTGAGGAAATCCCAACCCTGAATCCCTACAGTGACAACATCAACCTATATACCAGGGTGCCGTTGTACAAAGCGATCGTAGCGCTAAGATGATCGTAACTCCCATACCCTAACACAGACTTACGACTGACGTAGCGCTAAGGTTGCTTTGTACAACGGCACCCAGAACATCAGTCATGAGACAAAATTTGATTGCGAACAGTTGTCTCTCTTTATTCAGCTGTAAGAACAGTTCAATTTCTGTATTCAGCTGTAAGACTAGTTGTATCCCTGTATTCAGCTGTAAGAACAGTTGCATCCCTGTATTCAGCTGTAAGAACAGTTGTATCCTTTATTCAGCTGTAAGAACAGTTGTACATGTATCCTGTATTCAGCTGTAAGAACAGTTGCATGCCTGTATTCAGCTGTAAGAACGGTTGCATGCCTGTATTCAGCTGTAAGAACAGTTGCATGCCTGTATTCAGCTGTAAGAACAGTTGTACATGTATCCTGTAATTAGCTGTAGGAACAGTTGTATCCTCTATTCAGCTGTAAGAACAGTTGTATCCTTTATTCAGCTGTAAGAACAGTTGTACATGTATCCTGTATTCAGCTGTAAGAACAGTTGTATCCCTGTATTCAGCTGTAAGAACAGTTGCATGCCTGTATTCAGCTGTAAGAACAGTTGTACATGTATCCTGTAATTAGCTGTAAGAACAGTTGTATCCTCTATTCAGCTGTAAGAACGGTTGTATCCTCTATTCAGCTGTAAGAACAGTTGCATCCCTGTATTCAGCTGTAAGAACAGTTGCATCCCTGTATTCAGCTGTAAGAACAGTTGTATCCTTTATTCAGCTGTAAGAACAGTTGTACATGTATCCTGTGATCAGCTGTAGGAACAGTTGTATCCCTGTATTCAACTGTAGGAACAGTTGTATCCTCTATTCAGCTGTAAGAACAGTTGCATGCCTGTATTCAGCTGTAAGAACAGTTGTATCCCTGTATTCAGCTGCAAGAACAGTTGCATGCCTGTATTCAGCTGTAAGAACAGTTGCATCCCTGTATTCAGCTGTAAGAACAGTTGTATCCTTTATTCAGCTGTAAGAACAGTTGTATCCTTTATTCAGCTGTAAGAACAGTTGTACATGTATCCTGTATTCAGCTGTAAGAACAGTTGTATCCCTGTAATTAGCTGTAAGAACAGTTGTATCCTCTATTCAGCTGTAAGAACATTTTTTCCCTGTATTCAGCTGTAAGAACAGTTGTACATGTATCCTGTATTCAGCTGTAACAGTTGCATGCCTGTATTCAGCTGTAAGAACAGTTGTATCCCTGTATTCAGCTGTAAGAACAGTTGTATCCCTGTATTCAGCTGTAAGAACAGTTGTATCCCTGTAATCAGTTGTAAGAACAGTTGTATCCCTGTAATCAGCTGTAAGAACAGTTGTATCCTGTAATCAGCTGTAAGAACAATTGAATCCCTGTATTCAGCTGTAAGAACAGTTGTATCCCTGTATTCAGCTGTAAGGCCAGCATTAGGCTGTCTGGAGCCACATCTGGCCTGGAGTTGGCCTGTCAGTGGCCATTAGAATAAGCGTAGATCTTCACTGCCGACACACACTTCCCTACTAAATCTGTTCTGCTTCTGTATGCTTGATTTCTTTTTGTCACCCATGAAATTATGCCCGAAGTTGCACGGAAAAGCAGCACACAAAGTTCCATTCACGCAAGATCATTTCAGTTACATAGCAACATGCATGCACACATGTCCAGACTAATGCTGTGCCAGCTCACTGGCATACCATGCTGTAGTTGAACATGGAAGCCCAATCACAGAAAACTGACTCTAAGCCAACTGGCCTTGTATAAGGACGAGTGTCAGGAAAGGTAACAAAAGTATCTTTTTTAATGCCTTTCGGTGTGCCACAGTTCGAACCACCTCCATTCTGCTCTCCAGGCAAACCGACTTCATCCATACACCATGGAGGCAAAATTATTCATGAGTGATAATGGTTCACACAGAATTGTCAGTATGAAATTCAAGCCATTAAAAAGGCCTTTTTTAGGACTTAAACTAAAGTAGGAAATGTATAACAATTATTGGACAAACTAAACTGAGTACTTATCCGGTGCTTCAAGATATTTTCTCAAGATCATGCAGTTTTCAATACTGATTTCAAATTAACATTGTTTGAAAATCAGCTATTAAATACAAATTCTTTCCAGGTTTGTAACCAAAACACCTTACAACGAACATCCTGTCAATATAACATATTACATAAAAGATATGTCCTTGCATTCTAACAAACATGCAAATCGTCACTTCCACAATTTCATGATTCAGACCTCAACTCACAAATACAAACATATTTAGTGTAAGACATATCATAATATATCCAAACACATAACATAAAACACTTTCATGAGATGTGAAATCTAACTTTTTGGTTGGACCAATTTCCTATTTTCATTTTCAGTCCAGTCTGTGCAAAATGAGTCCCCTGTCTACACATCTGAACAATCACCCTGGTCGCAGCCGCCGCAGATGCACAGCCGCTGCAGCAGACGAGCAATGAAGCCTCGCAAACCATTGACACATGTGCACAATTGATGGTCCCCTTGGGCTCGCTCAGTGGAAAACCTTTTGCCCAGTCCTCAGCAATCAATTATGACTGAACAGTTGACAGGGCACTATGTTACTGCAAAGCAGCAATCTAGCCCTTTCTCCTCGAGGACTACCGCAACTGGACAAGTAGTGAAAAGCCACACTTTTTTCCTGTTTTCTTCCATAACAGCTAACAGATTGGTAGAACGAACGTTGGAGATTTTTAAAGTCGTATCTTAAAGCCTGTGGGTAGGTATGGCTGGTGATTGGGTGATTTAATCAGATACTTGTTGAGTGTGGTAGATAGTTATCCACCAGTCCAAAATACAGGGGTCCTGGGAGAGTTCAGTAGATCTAGATAATTAGTCGTCCCCTTCATAAATGTGTATTGCTTAACATTAGTGTAAAGACTCTAAAGAGTAGGAGCTCTTGAATTCTTGAAGATTCTTTGAGTATCTTATGGGGGATTCAATTAAATTGCTCTGATTTAAACATGAATAATTCAAATATTAATCATGATTTGTCTCAATGTGCCATTATTTCACATAAACACAACCAGGTAACAACACTGACCACTGTGAGTGAGTTAAGTTTTACACCACACTTAGCAATATTCCAGCTATATGGCAGCGGTCTGTAAATAATGGAGTCTGGACCAGACAATCCAGTGATCAACAACATTAGCATCAATCTACACGATTGGGATCAATGACATGTGTCAACCAAGTCAGCGAGCCTGGCCCGTTAGTCGCCTCTAACAACAAGCATGGGTTACTGGAGATCAATTCTAACCTGGATCTACACAGGTTCACTGACCACAGACACTAAAAACATACTTTTATTCTTCCCATTTATGATTTCCTGAAAACTCCATGGTTGGAATCATAAACTTAATTATTTAAGCATGACATCAGCAGCCCAGTTCCAGCTACATCAAGGAAGCCTGTCAATCTGTACAAACTAGGGGTCGACAATGTGAGCAACAAACAAGGTCACGATGACATGACAAAAGATCAGATGCAATCCAAAAGTTCTAGTTTGGATACAAATCTTCATTCTTCCAGTTTTGATAACTAGGGGCAGGATTCTTCTTTCTTTCCAAACTTCAACAGTTTTACTGTCATTCCCTAATGGGCCTAACTTCCAAAATGAGGACCACTCAGGAACTCTGATGGACAATTCTTCATGATATACATGATACAGGACATTTGATTTTTGTCTGATAATCTAAGCCATGGGTTAAGTTCAAGCCAATTCCCTTGAAATACACGAGAGATATACCAAGGTTCCAGGCCTTCACTTGACCGACAACCTTACAAACTATCGGCTTTCATTTCCTTACAATTATCATTAGGGGTGAAACAGTCCACAGCAGTAGTAGTAGAACCACGGTATTTTGCCTTCCGTTCGGTATACTGTCATGCAATCCAAAAATGCAGTACTTTCGGTTTTCGTACCGTCATTTCTATCGACACAATTGTTCATTCAAAATAACAAAGATTATGGTTATCTTGTTTCCATGTTATCAAACAACATAAGGTCTGGCTCACGTTGTAAATATTCTGCATTATGATCATGTCTCATATACATGTACTGAATTGAAACGGACAGAACCGGACAGAACCTTCTACTGCAATACGTACCATACCGTGGTAAGAGCGTACCGTTTCATCGCTAATTATCAGGATCATCTGACTGATATTTCTTTGGAAAAAGAAAGTAACTCCTGGTCTTCTGCTTGACCAATGACAGTTTGATTGTCATGGCCATCCTTTGTCCAAATAATGAAAATATAACTGGCTACTGTGGGTGGCAGGACCAATCACAGAGCTTGGTAGATAATGTGTTCATGCACATCACACTGTGTACAATTTTAAAATGCTTATACTGTGTGAGTGAGCTTATACTGACTACACAAAGTGATAGAACTCCATACAAATTCACACAGGTATTTATGGGACACGAATTCCTGCGTCCTATACGCATAAAAATTGACAGTGGATGCTACGAAATTTAGGTCCAAATACTTTTTGTAAAAGTTCCAATCAAGTAACAATAGGTTATCATTGAGTTTTCAACTAGCTGGGTTATGGTGTCATTTGCAATTTAATTACTGTAACAATGTGATGATCATGATACACAATACAAAAACAGTATTAATAATAATGTTTAAGTGTATGGGACCCCCCATTTTGTTGTCCAGGACCCCTGAAAATTAGGAGTATGAGTCCCAGGGACCCTCAAATACAGGACTCATGGTAAATCCCTGTTCACATGTTTATTGTATTGCAATATTTGTGAGTGCATGATTTAGAGTCTTAATGACATAACAATTAAAGCTAACATTGGTATGGAAACACTGACTGACTGAGTTCCGTTTTACGTCGCTTTTAGCAATATTCCAGCAACATCACGGCGGGGGACACCAGAAAATGGGCTTCACGCTTTAACCACTAGGCTACCCCAACGCCCCGGTATGGAAACAGGATACTATGTCTTTCATCAGATGGGAATTAATTCAAACATAGCCCTTCCATCATGACCTCAATGTAACTTCAATGTTGACTATTTCAAAACTAAATGCATGTATGGTGACACATGGGCTGAACTCTGCACATATCAAACATATTGTATGTTCTACTGAACTGACAATTTCTCCATATTCAAGTAAATATATCTTTAACTCATATTAACAACAAATGGGGAAACCAGAGATATTTGACTCCTAATTCTAGCAAATTGTGACACTAAAATTCCCTCTGGTGGTGAAAAAAAACATTCTATGTTTTGTATCTCTCAAATACAATTTGCTACTCAATTTAATTTTCGAGAAAATGACAGAGTTGGGCCTTAATTCTGATCCTAATCTGTACGCTCGGATCAGTTGTGTATGAGAATCAATTACTAAAGCTCCCAACAAAATTCAATTAGCCTTCTCAAGTGAACTTCACCCAATTGTAGGCCTTCCGAAACAATACGCTGTTGAAATTCACAGACTTTCTTTGGGGAAAAGTCTCAAAGGTTTCTTAAGTTTGTTAGAAGAGTTTCTTAATTAGCCCTCCAAGTCCTCAGACAGGTCAAGGAGGGAGTTTCACTTATTGCCTTCTTTCAAGCTGACAGTTTTAATTTTGATTTTTTTAAATTTGAGTTAAAAATCTAGACAAGTTATGGAAGACATTTGCTTCTTGACACTGCTTGTCCAATTTGAACTATTCATCTGACAGAAAAAAAACAACCAGCGTATACCCCAAATGTCCAGATTTTGTTAAAATTAGTATTATTATTTTGACTTGAACGAGAATTAATTATAATTTTTGTCCCACTTTTGAAACTACTATAATGTAATTACTTTAGAGGAACAAGGACAGATGATTACTGGTCTAAATTGAGGCGGAAGATTCAGTCCGTGAAGGGAAATATTAGTGAAAGAGTACTGATACATCGAGGGCAGTATGGTGACCAGTATTGATACTTGGAAGGTAGTACGGGTGAAGAATATTGATACTTGGAAGGTAGTACGGGTGAAGATTATTGATACTTGGAAGGTAGTACAGGTGAAGAGTATTGATACTTGGAGAGTATTACAGGTGAGGAGTATTGATACTTGGAGAGTAGTACAGGTGAAGAGTATTAATACTTGGAGAGTAGTACAGGTGAAGAGTATTGATACTTGGAAGGTAGTACAGGTGAAGAGTATTGATACTTGGAGAGTAGTACAGGTGAAGAGTATTGATACTTGGAGAGTAGTACAGGTGAAGAGTATTAATACTTGGAGAGTAGTACAAGTGAATACTATTAATAATTTGGAGAGTAGTACAGGTGAAGAGTATTGATACTTGGAGAGTATTACAGGTGAAGAGTATTGATACTTGGCCAGTAATACAGGTGAAGAGTATTCATACTTGTAGGGTAGTACAGGTGATAGAGTAATACAGGTGAGGAATATTGACACTTGGCCAGTAATACAGGTGAGAAGAATATTGATACTTGTAGGGTAGTGCACCACACAAACAACCATGCTTGTAGACTGTCGGAAGTCAGGTGAGACATTGTGACCATACAATCAACCTATCTTGAAGACTGTTGTAAGTCATATCAGACATTGTGACCACACAATCAACCCAGCCTGTGGAATGTGGTAAGTCACATCAGACATTGTGACCATACAATCAACCTATCAGACATTGTGACCACACAATCAACCTATCTTGAAGACTGTCCAAAGTCTGTCGTAAGATCAGACATTGTGAACACACAATCAACCCAGCCTGTGGAATGTGGTAAGTCACATCAGACATTGTGACCATACAATCAACCTATCTTGAAGACTGTGGTAAGTCAGGTCAGACATTGTGACCACACAATCAACCTATCATGAAGACTGTCGTAAGTCACATCAGACATTGTGAACACACAATCAACCCAGCCTGTGGAATGTGGTAAGTCACATCAGAAGTCACATCAGACATTGTGACCATACAATCAACCTATCTTGAAGACTGTGGTAGACATTGTGACCATACAATCAACCTATCTTGAAGACTGTGGTGTGGTCAGAAAGTCAGGTCAGACATTGTGACCACACAATGTCGAGACTCCAGTCACCAGTCACATCAGACATTGTGACCATACAATCAACCTATCTTGAAGACTGTGTAAGTCAGGTCAGACATTGTGACCACCACATCAACCATTGTGACCAGTCAGTCAGAATTGTCAACCAGCCTGTAGAGTGTCAGAAGTCTGCATGGACCCAAGTATCATAAAGCAGACATCAAAAGCCTGTAAATCACAATTTCCTAATATCATGAGAAAGTAAAAAACAATGTAACCAACAAAGATAAAGACATAATAAAAATACTCACATCATTTATTGATTTTAAAAGTTTAGCGATGAGTTTTCGGACAGATGAAAGTTTCTGCTGGGATTCCTCTGCCTCCTGTTTCCGTACCGACGCCTCTGTCTGGAAGTTGCTGACAAGCTGGAAACACATCACATGACAGGTCACATGATTGGTCACATGACAACTATCACTTCCTCACTGTTTTGCATGGTTTCAGATTGAAATACATTGAATGATTAATTAAATATTACTACACATTATATTGTATTCTGGCTTAGCCATGAATATGACAGACAATTTCGAATGAAATATTCAACAAAAAAAGTTAACGCAATTTTCAATATTAAAGTATTTAATAGTTCATATTATGTCATCGCAATGATATATGATGGGTGTTGGGTTCAACTCTGCTTCCAACACTATTCGAGTTATGTCAAAGAATGTCATCTTCATGTGCCTGAATTTATGCCGGTTTAAGGTATACTACTCACACTTTGCTAAGGATAAAAAACCAACAACTTTACTTCAACATAGACTTATAATTTGACATTGTATCCATTTAAAACTGGATAAATAATGATATGGTAACCCCTCTTTACGCAAACAGCCACTTTAATTTAACCTTATGCACTTGATACATGAGTAACCATAAAAATGGTTTTCATGGCACCAACCAACCATTTTGCAGCAAATCACGGCACGGGTCATTGACAAGTACACAAGACCTGTCAATAGCAGGTAGGGGATCCACAAGATGCAGTGACATACTGAAACCTAGGATCCATGCTTACAATAAGCTTAGATACTTAAACCAAATTAGACCCCATATCATAGTTTTCTGTTGAATCAATAATTTGATCCTTAGCAAAGTGTGAATAGCATATTTATCATCTTGGTAAGATCTACAAACACAGGTACGCTGCTCACAAACTTAGGGTCCTAATCAGGATTTGAGTGAGTGAGTGAGTATGGTTTTATGCCGCTTTTTGCCATATTCCTGCAATATCACACTAGTGGGAGACACCAGAAATAGGCTTCACACATTGTACCCATGTGGGGAATCGAACCTGGGCCTTTGGCGTGGCGAGCAAATGCTATAACCATCAGGCTCGCCCACCACCCCAATCGGGATTTGAACCCACAAACAAACCACTGCAGATCAAGTAACAGGACCTCAGTTTACTGGGCCCCCCTTGATCATATGAAAAACATAAGGTGTTCTTCAGTTCTTTTGAGCTGTATAGTTGTATTAAGAAAACTCAAAGCAATTTTGAATTTTGAACTTGAACATACTACAAAGCCCACTTTTTGTTATGTTTAAAGGAAAATACAAAAATTGATAATAACATCAAACTCACCCTTCTCAGGCCCTTCTCATAGTGGTCAAAGAAGTCATCTAGAGGAAAGCCAGCCAGTTCCGGCAGTGACATGGCTGATATCGTCTCCTTGTCCATTATCCACTGTGGAGGGAGGAAATATCGAAGACACGTCCTGGAACAAAAGACAGTCATTTTAACTTCTTCGAAACTCATTCAGAAGTTGGAGTATTAGGTAATATACTATATTGTAAAGAACAACTTCTTCATTACAACTGTGTTTGTCTCAAAGCACTCCATGTGTGAGAGAGAGAGAGAGAGAGAGAGAGAGAGAGAGAGAGAGAGAGAGAGAGAGAGAGAGAGAGGGAGAGAGAGAGAGAGAGAGAGAGAGAGAGAGAGAGAGAGAGAGAGAGAGAGAGAGAGAGAGAGAGAGAGAGAGAGAGAGAGAGAGTGTGTGTGTGTGTGTGTGTGTGTGTGTGTGGTGGGGCACCTGCCTGCACGTAAGGTGGAAGGAGACAATGTCTGTGGCTCAGATCTGTGGTACATCAACCCAGGTGCCTCATGACACTTTAACACTGGGGTTATATGTACCCTTTGACTCAAAAACTTGATCCACTGTCTTTAAATGTAGTCATGGGAAGTATGAATGGTATGCTTACATAAGCCCAAACAATGTCATCAACATCAACTTATAACCACCATTAACAATATTAGTACATAGACTAAATGATGCTTAAACAAACAAATATTTTACCATTAAACTGTTATTATATTATGATTATTGTTATCATAGTTTAGCACTGTCGGACTGACTGACAGAGAGACACTGACTTCAAGGTATTAGCTAAAGGATTTCCTTTTAACAACATCTGCAGAAGCAATACTAGAGTGGAAACTACAAAGACTAACTTATACAAGTCAGTGACATACAGACTTTTAAAAATACAGTTTAGCCACTGCAAAGCATGTTGAAAACACTGTTTCAACAGTTCCTCAGTCCACTGGACACATATCGAACTTGGTGGACTGACAAATCACCTTTTCCTCCATGAAGAAATACATTTTTTAACATTAAAGTATCAGTGAATGGTCACAGGTGCAAATAATTTCCTCACTTGATGTTTGGTCTGACAACCAATCTTTTTACTCCACCAAATAGCTTCAAGAACTGGTGAAAATTAGGAAATAATGCATCAAAGAAACAAAGTGATTCCTCTGACTTTTCGTCTTCTTTTCAAATTTCTTTTCCACATCTTTACACTGGAGAATATTTGAGAAATTGAGTTGGAGAGAGAGTACGGTTAGATGCTGCTTTTAGGAATATTCCAGGAATACAAGCACAGGGAACAACAACAAAAATGGGCTGGTAACCATGTGGGGAACTGAACCCATGTCTCTGGTGTGACAAGCAAACACTTTAAGGTGAGGTGAAATTGGGTTTAACGTCGTGCTTGAGAATATTTCGCTCATATGACGACGTGCATGTGTGTGTATGTGTATGTGCGGCTGCTTGTACTAGCCAGGACTGAAGCTGGTTTTATAGTGCTAGCCCACTGAGATACCATGCCGCAGTGAATCATGAATACCCCACTCAGACACAGTATACTGACTCCGAGCCGACCAGTCCTTGTTGTAACCATTAATGCCGAGCGCCAGGCAGGGACCAACAAGTACCATATTTTAACGTCTTTTGGTATGACGCGGTCGGGGATCGAACCAGCGACCTTCCGCTCTCCGGGTGGACGCTCTAACCACTACACCACGGAGGCGGTCCAAACACTTTAACCACAAGGCAACCCCAACCATACACATGACTGTACTGTTTAGAGGTCTTACCTGTAACCATTAGCTATTTCATCGGTGATCTGGCTGGACTGAGACGACGTGATGGCAGGGGTGGCCGTCGATGATGTTGGTGCCTCTGTAGCTGTATCATGCGATGAGATGGATGCAGGAGAGGGGGGACCAGTGGTTGATGTGTCACCAGTCTGACCCGGCTGATGGGAAAAGGGGAGACATCATTGTAGAGAGTGAGTGAGTTTAGTTTTACGCCACTTTTAGCAATATTACAGCAGGGACACCTGAAATGGGCTTCACAAACTGCACCCATGTGCGGAATTGAACCTGGGTCTATGGCATGACGAGAGAATGCTTTAATCACTAGGCTACCCCACCCCTCATTGTACAGAACAAAGAGTGGTCACTGCTGCTTGGGACTGTGTATCATGGTTATATGGTCAGTGAGCCTGAATAGACAGACTGACCGACTGAGTTTGGTTTTACGCCGCTTTTAGCAATATTCCAGTAACATCACGGCTGGGGACACCAGAAATGGGCTTCACACATTGTACCCATGTGGGGATTCGAACCGGGTCTTCGGCGTGACGAGCCAACGCTTTAACCACTAGGCTACCCCACCGCCCCTCCGGCTAATGCCGTTGGTTCCAAATGAATTCCCAGGCTTCAAATACTCAATAACACCCTGAAATTGGCCAACACATGATGTTTATCTCCCAAGTGTTTCTCAGTCTATCAATATTTTCAAATATTAGACTTGTTGTCTCCGTGTAGCTTAACTCCACACTAAGCAATATTCTAACTTATGACAGTAGCCTTCATATAGTGCAAAATCACTAGGATCCAAACATCTTGCCAAATCTTGTGTAGATAAATTTTCAAAACTTACCTTTGACGTTCTGATGTCTGAACCCCCTTTTTCAAACCTGAAAAAGAGAGAGAAGCTCTGGACATTTCTGCCTGACAAACTGTCTGGTATCTCAAAATGTTTTCTCATCTTCTCAACATCAGGTAATGTGAAATGGGTTTTAACATAGTGTTCAAGATAATGTCACTTGTGAAATGCATGTGACTGCTTGTATTTTTTTATTTTATTTTTTTTTACGTTTAACGTAGCACTCAGCAATAGTCAAGCTACATGGCAGCGGTCTGTAAATAATTGAGTCTGGACCAAACAATCCAGTGATCAACCGCATGAGCACTGACCTACACAATTGGGATACAATGACATGTCAAGCAAGTCAGCAAGCCTGACCAACAGATCCTATTTGTCGCCTTTTGGACAAGCATTGGTTGCTGAAGGGCAATTGTAACCCAGATGTTCACAGGTTGGGTGCTTGTACGAGTCTGGATTATTGCTTGTTTTATCACTGTGTATTGCCTTAGCCCATCAAGATACCTCACTCACACAAAATATACTCCCATGAACCCATTTTCATTTAAACCCTTCAAAATTAAATTCTAACTATTTTGGGAATTTCAACAAAATGTGAAGTAGGTGAAAGTAAATTTCCATAAATTCAGTTATATTATCTTAAATAGTTTATTTATTATGTACTGGATTTGCAAGTCAATGAGTCGAGAGTAAAATTCAAGAATGACACTTACGGACCACAATTTCACCATCAGGGTTAGAGCTGTGACGATACATCGTAGTATCGATATTCGTGATACTTTATCTGACGATAAATATATCGATACTTTTGTTCGTATTGTGATATGTATCGTTAACCTTAAAATTGTTAATGTTCACTAGAAATTGACGGTTATGTATAAAATTACACTGTTACTTGCTATCAAAATATACTTTTTGAAAGAAAATAACTAAAGATAGCATACCGTGATATGCATAGAATCGAATCGTATCGTGACATTTCCGTATCGTCACACCTCTAATCAGGGTGATGGGAAGTCTGTGAGAGACCACAACTGTGGACAATTGAAAATAAAACGTAATTCTAACTGTGTCAAATTATATCAGGTCCTTGCCTCCACTGAGCCAATTATCCATGCCTTTACAGGAAATCTACCAGTATACCGACAACTCCAGAGACATAGGCACAGACACCTATTTATGGCCGTGGTTTCTTGCAATGTGACGGCTATTTCTATTTCTGGTGTAACCCTTAACAGTTTGAACCAATTCCAGTTACCCAGCTGAGCCAAATTTTAGAAAACAGAAATAAAAAATATTGCAACTTAATCAATATGCTTCTTTGTACCATGTCATGGATTCATGTTGTACCATGTCATGTATTCATGTTGTACCATGTCATGTATTCATGTTGTACCATGTCATGTATTCATGTTGTACCATGTCATGTATTCATGTTCAGCCATCTTCTAAACGGCTTTCAAGAACTTTATCCCTGTGTTAACAGAATGATTCCACAATATTTTTAAAGCTGTGTTTCTGCTCATTCAAGCTAACAAAAATAAGGACCCTTTCACTCTAAATGTGAAAAAAGGTCACTATACAGAAAAGAGGGGAGGCATGTCATTTTAGAAAATATGTCAAAAGGTATTTTGTAATGCAAATCAACCATGTTAATTGTGCAAGTTAAATCAACACTTTTGTCTCTGGAACTCTAGACTTGCTGTATTTATCAATCAAATAAGAAATACAAAGTGTAAACGGAAACTGTTGCCAACTATCACAATAAATCACGAAAACAAAACTCTCCAGAATCATTCAGCCACTAAATTGAGGAAAATGGCAACACTTCAACACCCATACAAATCCCTAATCTATTCAGTCAGTTATTACAGGGTAAGGCATTGAGTCATTAAACACACATACATTTACACTTAGAATAATGCGTCAGCATTGTAGGGACAGGTCCGAGTTGCGCAAAGCCAACAGATGGCAGTGTAATACAGCGCCCTCTAGCTGACGTAGCCTATCATTAGCTCGGGGGTTCCCCTCAGGGGGCATGCAGTCCATTAGAAAACCATCGTCTCTCATTCTACCTCAACCACCCTTAATTACACTGACAGGACAGGGAGTCTTGGAAAAAATCAATTTTCATGTAATTTTGAAGTTGTTTGTAATACTTTGAGGGTAACTGCCTTGAAGTAAAACATCTTCCTCAATATGTCTCATTTTCAGATGTTAAAAACTAAATAAAATGAACCTAACAAAAATGCTTATGAAAATTCTGATTCTAACAAAACAAATAAAACCATGGGCCAGAAACTACTTCCCTAACCATTCAACACACAAAACCATTAAATTGATAAATATATATACAAATTAATGAGTGGACTGAAAACCAGTTCCCTAACCATTTCACCAACAAAACCATTAAAATATTAAATATATAAACAAATTAACATATTGTCTACAAAACGGGTTCCTTGACAATTTGACAAACAAAACCATTATATTCTTTGGATACATAAATTTGAGGCATTAGAAAGTGGTCTGTGATATCGATAACAGTAAGTATAATAATACCTAAGTTTACAAACATCAAATCACACAAGCTTTTTTCATGTTTTTGCCTGTCACACTTTCTTCCCATCATGACTGACTGACTGAGTTTGGTTTTATGCCGCTTTTAGCAATATTCCAGCAACATCACGGCGGGGGACACCAGAAATGGGCTTAACACATTGTGCCCATGTGGGGATTCGAACCCGGGTCTTCGGCGTGACGAGCGAACGCTTTAACCATTAGGCTACCCCACCGCCCCTCCCATCATGAGTTGCAATACCGAACTATTCCAAACACAAGTCATAATTCGATCTAATAACCCCACAGCAGAAATTACCATCAGCAAGTCACATAATCTCGAGGCAATAGGCATAACTCCACACAACTAAGTAATTACACACAATTGGTTTTCAGCCCATCAATTCTTTGTCAACAAATGCTACTTGAGGAGATAATGAACACTGAAGGTGTATGAGGTCCTTGGAAGCGGAAGCTGATTACGGAAGGGTCTCTTCCTATCTACGTACATACAAAGCCGCACACGACCAAGCTTTCACGCACTGCTGCTCACCACCACCCCCTCCAGGGAAGCGAGAATGAGGGGCAGGTCCCTCCCATTGTCCTCCAATTGTCTAGACTTAATCCTTGGGCCTTCGCACATAAAACAAGGGTGTTGATTTGACAACATTAAGGCTAAGGTGGTGATACAATTTTCAGATAAGCAGAGCCTGAAATTTTACGCCTTCTTCACCTTAGAAAAGTTGAACCCCAGACGGAAGCCGAGACAAATTGCACGTTTAAACGCCACGCTTTCAAGCCAGTTATTATATTTTCATTAACGTCACCAGACCTAGTAATTTTCATAGAATGCTCACAGTGGCCTGTGACATGAGATTTAGATAGTCCCGAGGAGCATCTCGAATCAATCGGATGATGTGCCCCCTTCCGAGAGAACAATTGTTTTCAATTAGTTTCAATTGACGATCTTTGTACGAGACTGAAGGGGGTACTCCTGCCTTGCCCCTGGGGATGAGGGGAGGGGCAAGCAGGCCATACATTTCACATTTTTAAGAAATATCTTAAACTAACTCTGACTTTTTTTCAAATTACATGTTTAAATCGACTTGATTATGATAATATATGCTTCAGTTTGGTGCAAGATAAAACAATTAAAAGGTCTAAGTGACAGTATCGTAATGATATAGGTTCTGTTGCTGTTATTGAAAAGAACTATCAGTTTCACTGCATGGGGCTTCTCAATTTCCAAGGAATCTTAAAACATTTACTCTGTCACCGTTAGCACATTTTCAAAATCAAACTAAGGCCTTATTTCGGATTGGTGTATAAATCAATCAAAATTGCAATAAATTTCCTAAACAAATATCACAATGTCTTTCTCATACTGCCATTAGGAATAATCCAAAGGACTTTTACGTGACTAAATCAGTACATTTTCAATATTATCTACAACATTTATAAGAATTATGTGTTGGTCTGTGGTCCTGTGCATAGAGCTCAGGTCACAAATCAGTTGAAGTTAAGCAACACTGGGCGCGGAGAGTCCATGGATGGGTGACCGTGTTTGGCAGCTTGACTCCTAACAGTTTCTAGGACTTCAGTCCTGCCCCACAACAAAGCACATGTGATACACCATAGGCAAGTGAGTTTGTTCAACATTGCCTCTGTTCACACAGCAGAAAATGGGCACCTGGTTGAATAACCTTCTAGCGCCATTGAACAGCTTCGAGTTGGATACCAGGGGCCATAGAAATCCATTATTATTATTGTTATTATTATTATTAATATTATAACAAACAAGCCAAGATAAGTTTTCTCTTTAATGACCTACTTATCCAAATCAAACTGAAAGATGATTTAAAAACACCTGTACAATACAGGTTATTTTATATATTTTTAGTTTAGTTTAAACCTATTTTATTCACAAAGTGAATAGGATCGGGGGCAAATTCTTACAACTTATAAAAACCCTTTTCAAGAATATTTAGTAATATTTACCATAAGAAATTATAGAGCAAACAATCATTACAGACACACACAAAGGAAGATTTCAGTTCCTTCCATTTTACTTAGAATATTCTTGAGGAAGGATAATGAGTGAGTGAGTGAGTGAGTGAGTGAGTGAGTTTAGTTTGAGCCCGCTTTTAGCAAATTCCAGCAATATCATGGCTGGGGACACCAGAAATGGTACCACAGCATTAGCTGAGACATATTTGCAATTAATTGATAAATATATATGATGTTGATCTAATGTTTGATACATCAAATTAAAGAAGGAAACTTCAATTTTACAGCCTTCGTTATAATATTCATTTTCTGTTAATTTCTTTCTTACAGTTTAAGAAACAAACAGAAATATAGATGATAATTATCATTCATGTCTTTTAACATATGAATTAAAACTAAAAGAACCAATTCAAGAGGAATAGCAGTTGGAACTGCCTGTGTTTGGCAACAAAAAGTCTGAGTAAA